ATGGATCTTCTGAAATTGAAGGCTTTATGAATAAGGTTGAATTTCCTATGACATCAAAATAACCATGTGGTAAATCTAGAACATGCAATTAATGTGCATAAATTCCTCAGAAATAGTCTCCTTTATTTCCATGCATCAATGTAAAACCAAAGACTAATATTGTAGAAAAGAAAAGAGAGATAGAGAACAAATATTCTTTTCATGCAATAATCTCCAAACTATCCCTTGAGAGCATCATTCATCAAGATTAACCTAAAAGTGATACCAGATATCATTCAATACCTTGCATTGTCATTCAAATTGAACTTTAAGACTGTAGTCCATATATACTAAAAATATTGAAATTTGAAGCTATTTTCATTCAATGAGGCTGCTGAAAGCAGGCATAAGACTCTTTCCAATGGCTGTCTTCATTGAATTGTTGTACCACTCGTAAAACATAATTTACACTCATTCAACCGAAGTTAACCTTTTGATGGTATCAACAGAAGTAACTTATCACAGTAAAAGATACTGAGCATCTAATAATCAGGTAGGCAAAGGTGCAGGTGTCAATCAACTTAGGGAATCAGAACATGATATGCAAATACTACAAGTAACAAAACCAGTACAAGAAACAACAACATCACAGACATGCTGAAAATCATTTTTATTAAAGAGAAAAGATATGTTACTAATAATAACGAGTGAATGCCAACACTTATGGTAGAGATATATAGGCATCTTTAGATGATAAGCAGAAAGTGGTAACGACAAAAAAACAGCCCTGAATGTGCGAAAATATATCCAAAGCTAATGGTTAGTGGACTGACAAGTACAGGGTCTAATATGAAATGGCAAATAACTTACATTAGAAATTACATTTTCATGATCTCTAAAATTCTCCACATCAGTAGTCAGCTTTATGGCATCTTCATTCTCAGTATGCCCAAAAAGCTTCAGTTCATCAATTTTTAGTCCTTTTTCGACTAAAGCCTGTAATTGTTTCAAAAGAGCAATCTCAGTACCTTTCCCTCAATGTATCTCAATGCATAATAACATGTGCATCATACCTGCAGTAAACCAGGAGCATCTTCCTCAAGTGCAACTTCAACAGAGCATCTACAAAATCCCATCCAAAATTCAGTCTCAAACTAATTGCCAAACTAACTGCTATAAATCAATCAAGAAAAGAATTAAAAAAATAAACAAGCAGGGGAAATAGACATGCAGAAACAGCAAAGTTCAGGGAAAGTAATAATTACGTCACAGTTTTTCTCCTTTTCCTTTTCAAGGGGATGTGGCTAACTTTGTCGTTAAGGGAATCAACAGAGTCAAAATAATCAGATTTCTTGTCACATGGCTGATTTGCTTCTAAGCATGCAGTGTTACTAATATCATCCATCGCAGAAAGCTCACTTGACAATGAGATTTTAATCCTGTCCAGCAATGGAACATGATCTAACTCATCTATATCAGAATCACCATTAATTTTTCCATCTATCATATTCACTGCTGGCATATTGGCGCTCAAAGAGCCATCAGTCTCATTTTCCCTCTTCATCTTATCCACTGCTTGCACATTTGCCACCTGACTCTTTGAAGGACTAGTTTGACTGTATTCAATGTTCTCAGCCTTGATTTTGAATTTCAAGCGGGGCAAAGAAGGGTTTGGCAGTTGATTACTTGCCATAACATCCATTTCTTTCTCTTTGGAAGAAGTAGAGGAAGCTTCAGGTAGAGGTGGCTGACGTGCCTCTTTAAAACAAAATGCATTAGCTATTTCATTGTCAATATCACTAAAGCTACCAGCGTTTGGAATGCAGGTATCAACAGTGCCTGAACATCCTATAATTACATCTTTTGGAAGACTATAATTTGGACCTTCATGGAAATCATCAATACTTCCCACAGCAACTGTGCCACTCTGACTTCCTTTTGATAATCGAGAACCTAAATGCTTCTTTCTCTTAACAGGGCCGTTCTTACAAATTTTGGAAGTGTGAGCATCAGCAGATGATGCCTGCAAGTAACACAACTTTCATCACTTGAAAATATACAGCAGATCAAATATTAGAAATTTTATCCAATTAATGTTGAACACAAAAACAGTTCATTCTTACAGAGTGCTCAAACTTATGAATACCTGAAGTGCAAGAACTGCATTCAATTGCCTAACAGGTTTTTTACTAGCTTTCACTGAAGCACCATTATGGTTAAGAGAATCTTGGGCCAAGACATCTGATTCCATCTAAAAATAGCATTGGAGCTATAAGTAAGAAGATATATTTTTTTTGTTGTATAAAGTAAGGAAATATATACATGCAACGCAAGAAAATAATAGGTCAGCCACTTCAAGAACAAACCTCAGGAAAGATAGAGTTCATCTGCAATGATTTCTTCATAGTCTGACTTTTATTGGCAACAAGATCAGACTCATGAAAAGCATCCTGCAAGTTCCCATGATGAAAAATAGTGCCACAATCCATTCTGAAGCTAAAGAAAAGGAAGCACCTACAAGTTTTTGTTGCTCAAGAAAAATAATAATATGTAGATCAGATATTGGTGGCACTAGCCTTGGAACTAGGATAGGGACCCACTCCAATAGCAATGGAGTTAGAGACACAAGGATATTGATCCAGCATATCAAAATAATAGGTAAGCCACTTCAAGAACCCACCTTAGGAAAATCAAAGTTCATCTGCAATGATTTCTTCCAACACAGAATGGACTTTTATTGAAAATATATTCAGGTTTATGTAAAATATCCTGCTATTTCCCCTGTTAAAAATCATTTTCGTTTAGCAAAGTGAAAAATAGGCATAAAGAGATCCAAGACAAATTTTGGTTGCTCAAAAATAAAATGACAATATGTCACTATGGAGATCAGATGTTGGTTAGAGAAGCCCCACAACTAGGATAGGGCATCAATAGAATTGCAGTTGCAGAAGTATGGGCATTAAAAAATGCAGCATAAGATAATGATATGTCATTAACTTCAGAACAGACCTCCGGAAAAGTAGAGTTCATCTGCATTGTTTTCTTCCCAACACAAAACTGACTTTTATTAGCAACAGATCCAGACTCATGTAAAAAATCATGTGATGTCCAATGACAAAAATAAACCCATTATCTATTCTGAAGCAAAGGACAATTAAGCATTTTAATGAAGCAAAAAAAATCAAGCATAAAGAGATCCAAGGAAAATTTTGGTTGCTTAGGAAAAATTGACAATACACTACTATGGAGATCTGATGTTGGTTGCACTAAGCCACAACTTGGATGGGACAACCACTCCAACAGTTAGATATCAATATGAATACTGAACTTCCCATAAGACGAGGAACCATCATATCCTTTCTCCTCAAATAGCAATTAGATTTAGTACATAAACACAATTCTCAAGTATCTAGAATCGAAGAAAGCATACCATTCATCAAAACAAAATTGCAATAGCTATCTCAAGAAACTCTTATAGAAAAAGCATAGGCATCACATAAGCATTTCCGGTAACTAAGTCCAATTCTTTTTCAGGGTGTTCCTAAAACTAGACTGAGAAATTTGCCAGAAAAACTCTTCTCAAAGTACCCGTTCCAAATTATAAAAGTGGTACTTACACATCAATTGAGGATAATCCAATGCCAAAAATACCAAAATTGACATTTATTTTGATGTTAGATGTAATCTTAGATGAAACCCCTTATTTTGGGAAAAAAAATGCCTTCACTATTTAATAGATACAGTTTTCTTGGTGAACGTGTGCCCACATCCATTTGTTATGGGCATGATAAAAAGTTATATAAAGGTAACGGACATGTGTAGTGATGTTATCTCAGCATGGGGAACAACAGAAATTTTTAAAACTTGCAAGGGCATGGTACAGGCAATATTAATGTGATATCACCTAGTAAATGCCCTTTCCCTTAGCATAAACTAGTAGTCAATGGCTATGCAATGCATGGGAGATACTTTTAGCATATCACGTCTTCCAAACAATTGATCTATCTATTTAAACAAATGTATATTAATACAGACACGCACAAGCACAGAAAAAGATCTAATCTCCCTAGGGTGGACCGCCACAGTGTCCCCCTAACTTAGAACTCAAGAACCACGCTAGAGGGGTCCTATGGATCCGAAACCTAGCCATCCAAGACACTGATCTCAAAATCAAAAGCTAGATTCGCATCCTAAAAGTGACTAAAACGCCCCACCTAATCATCGATTTTTGGACAGTCAGATCTAGGTCTCAAAGAACCTAAGACCTTTTTCTTTATATTGCTCATCATGATTACACCATCCACACAAGGGTCAAATAACTATCCCAGAGGCCTAGATCTAGCTATTCATTAAGCTGGAAGGCTGGCGGTTACCTGTATTTTCTCTCCCCCCAAAAAACCGCTAGGTTTTATATTCAAATCTTTTCATGAGTTTGTTTACGGGATTCATGAAAGTGCGTATGCAAAATCAAAGGTGAAGCAAATGGCTCTAACATGGATATTTTTGAGCTAGGGCGGTGATTGTAGTAGTCCACCCAAGGGTGACCAAAACCATATATATATATATATATATATATATATATATATATATATAGTA